CCAAATGAGCCCAAATTAGGAAAAGTTTGCACAGAGCTTTTTAGGGTCACCTGCAAGATGGACTCAGGACCACTAGAATTCCTGCCCTAGCTGTTTGCTGGAGATTGTTGGAGCCAGCTGTGGAGAACTCTTCCTATGCAGGCTCTGGAGGACCAGGGAAGGTTTCCAGAGCAGAGCTCATGTGTGGTTCTGTCAGTCAGTATCTGTTCCATTAGGGGGCTGTACTGCTGTATTTCCCTGCTGGTGCAATGGCCAATCTTGGGCAAACATCTCTACTACTTCTGCATTTGTGACCCATTTTTATTGCCTCACCATTACAGATCAGGAATGATGTGTTTTCTTTCCTCTCACAAGGAATGCAAGACTTCCTTCTTCATAGAACAGTTTGAAAAAAGGCAGAGAATTGACCCTTAGGACAGAAGGGCCAAGGACTCTCCAACCTGCTGATTTCAAGGTTTGCCTATTTTCTGTTGACACAGATCCAGAGAAACAGCCATGTGCAGTTTTAGATGCTGGTGCTCTGTTCTAATGCTCTTTTTAAAAACTGGTTTTCAGGGGAGAATAATGATTGGGTACATTTCACTCAACTGAGCAAATCTGCATGGAAAGAATATATTCTGGAGAACTTACAAAACTTATTTTAAAAATCAGTATATTGTTCCAAGAGTATGGTATGCTTAGTATTTAGAGCTCTAAGTTTTGAGATATTTGTAACAATTAGGTATTTTTGTGTTTTACAGACATCTGCAGGGTGAGCAGCAATCTTGCTAACTGTAACAGAAATAAAATCTGTATCTATTGGGCATTGCCAGGTGTGTGTGGAGATCTAAATGTGTATATTTGCAAAATGCATCCTGTGTGCAGATATTAAGCACATCCTCTGTGGGATTGCACTGTGACTTGTGTATTTGGAGGCAAAGGTTCTGAATAAAGAAGAAACTATCCAGAATAGAGTGGAATTAATTGCAGTTGCTGTGGGTTTTCAAAGCAATGACTGCAGTCAGAATCTGGCCTAAGTAATTAACTTACGAAACATGGAAAGGAAAAGCAGCATGTGGAAGATATAATTAATGGGAACATATAACAGTCAGCTCTCACATAATAAATTGGCAGCTCTGCCTGAGGTAACTGCCTTTTATTTGCAAAATGCAGTTGGAATTTTTTTAAAAGTAATTGCACATTTTCTTCCATTTCCACATGGTCTCAGAGAACATAGTACAGTACAAATACCAACAGGAATGCAATAAAATCATCGCTGTTGTTTGTTGTTTTTCCCGCTCCGGGCTATGATCTTATTTGAGCCAATGTCCAAAGGACAGGAGGAATACATTTTACTTCAGGAAAAGACAAGTGGTAAAACATTTTAGTGAGGTTTAATGTGGAATAATCTAAAAGAACAAGACAGGGATAATCAGAATAGATAACGGTAAATGGATAGGTATCTATATCCAGAACAGATTTAGTAATGTAGTTCTCCCAACTTGAGTAAATAATCATTATGATAAATGTTCTGAAGTTCATCCATTTGGAAGGCTTGAATTTTCCCCACCTGAAACTTCAGGTTTTTTCCTGCATAGGAAGCATGACATCTTTGGGTGCACCACAGGTGCTGGCAGATCTTCAAGGGAACCCATTCTACCACTTGCCTAGTGCAAAGCTCTGGAAGGAGGTGGGATGGCACAGTGGCTCCTCACAGCTTTGGTGCTGCTTGGGGTCAAACAGCCTGCTGCAAAGTGCAGCACTGCTGTCCTCCTGCTCAGAACACTTGCAACAGGAAGGTGAGGAGGGCTTGCAACTGGAGTCTGCTGCTGTGCCCAAAACATACAAGCTACTAGGCTAGAAGTAGAGCAAATTGCATGTCATTGCTGCTGCTGCCTGGTATATGTGATTCCTCTCTGTGCACAGGTGGGGAGGTAGCCTACCTACCCTTTAAAATGCTTTGTTTGTCAGTTTAGGGTTTGTTTTGGTTTTAAGCAATCTGATTGCCATCACTGCAATAGTGGGGAGGAAAAGGGAAGTCCAAATCTATTGTTTTGTAAGCCTGAAGGAGAATGTAGCTTTTTTTTGTCTGTGCGTGAATGGTGATGGGATCTAATAGTAACCACCTAGTGCTGGGTGAGTTCTTCTCACTACAAATCTGATTAGAAGTTTTACTGCTGTTTACAATGGAACTGCTTGAAGACCAGGAAATCAGAGTTCTCTGTAAAATATTTCTGCTGTAACCAGTCTCTGTGCTGCTGACCCCAGGGGGATCTTCCATTTGCTGCAGGCTGAGCCAAGCAGGCAGTCTGTTGCTGAACTAAGCCTTTAAATAGAAGTTTAAAAAAGTACATCCTGCAATTTTTGTGCGATGAATTTAGAACGATGTTCTAGCAAGCTCAGTACACTCCAAATTAATTAGCAGTGATCTTTTTAACAGGATAATTACTGTATCAGCAAGTGGTAAACTCAAAATGAATGTGAGTAGTCCCAGCTTGCATCCACAAGGAAGAGCTGTGTTGTGGTTCTACTAGCTGATTCTAAATCCATTCCAGTGTCAAAGGCTTTAGGCAGCACACCTTCTCATCAGCACTGTCACTTTTTTACTTCTAGGCTTGAACTAAAATCCCAAATGAAGTCGCATTCCACTCTCCATGTCTATCTCACAATGCCATGACAAGTAACGATTGGCTTTCTTAAATTTTTGCTGGAAAAAAAATGCCCAAAATAAGAAGAGGAGGAGGTGTTGCACATTATTACTGAAGTATGAATAGTGGAAAGGGCTATGAAGTGTATGGGACTTCTTTCTTTATGGCTGTGCATTTTCTTCTTTCATAACAGAAGGGTTTGGTCCTGCATAGAACAGTAAGAACTCACAGATATAAACACGTGTTCACATCTTTGGAGTCTGGAATTTTTTAAGAGGATCATCTTTGCAATAATAAATGTGTTATTGCATATCAGGCTGTGAATAAATAAGTCTATGATTGCTGCAGTGATGGTAGAAACACTTTTATTCATTCCTGAAACTGGATTCTGTTTTCAGATAGCCAACGCTTTAGAAAACAAGGTTAAATTGGCTGTTTTTAATAAGGGAAACTGCCTTAATTACATCACTTTATATGCTTTTCTGATCTCTTTCAGAATGGATGCAGAAATCATAAAAGCACCTCCCATTTTGTGAAAGAATAGAATTTTTTAGGCAGACTTTCAAAAATGGCTTATGTTGCTTTCACCTTGTATAAGCTGAGTCCAGCAGTCAATGGTCTTACACTGATCTCAAGTGTGCTGTTGGGAGAAATGAGGCCTATATTGTCCACTCCAAATGGGAACATAGTAATTTAGTAATTATTACCCATTTCTCAAAAATGGATCTTGACACTCACCAGCCCAGACAATCCCTCAAGATATTTCATGGGACCTTGTGATTCTTTGTGATATGTGAAGTGTAGGCTGGTTTGGGTTGAAGTGGAGTTAATTTTCTTCCCAGTGGCTAGTATGAGGCTATGTTTAGGATTTGTGCAGGGCACAGGGTTGATAATGCAGAGATGTTTCTGTTACTGCTGAGCAGAGCTCACACAGAGCCAAGGCCTTTACTGCTTTCTGTACTGCCACACTGGCAAGGGAGTTGGGAGTGCATGGGAGATTGGGAGGAGACACAGCTGGGACAGGTGACCCAAACTGACCAAAGGGATATTCCATACCATAGGATATCATGCTCAGTATATAAGGTGGGAGGAAGAAGGAGGAAGGTGAGGACATCTGGAGTGATGGCATTTGTCTTCCCAATGAACTTGTGATGTTGCCCTGCTCTCCTGCTCTTCTGGAGATGGTTGAACACCTCCTGCCCATAGGAAGCAGTGAATTAATTTCTTGTTTTGTTTTGCTTGTGTGTGCAGCTTTTGCTTTCCCTATTAAACTGTCTTTATCTCAACCCATGAGTTTTTCTAGGTTTTACCCTTCTGATTCTCTCCTCCATCCTACTGATAGGGGAGTGTGTGAGCAGCTGTGTGGTGTTCAGTGGCTGGCTGGGGTTAAGCCACAACAAGTGCAAGCCTGAATCCTTTTGCCTAGACTGTCTTGTCAAACTTGAGCAGCAGTTCCATCTTCTTTCTAGTGAGAATCTATGCCTGGGTCAGGCCACTTCTAAAAATATATAAAATGGAGACATTTTAAAAAGTTTTCTCAACTGTAATGTGAAATCAAGAGAGGGGAAAAAAAGTATTTACAAATATTTTGGTGAGGTTTTGTGCGTGTGTGTTCTAGCTGTGCGTGTGTGTTCTAACTGGTAGAAATAGAAAGGCAAGCACCTCTGTAGAAAATGCCTGTAGCAGATGCAGTTGTCTTCTAATGAAGAGCAATTTAAGGCTTAGGTTATTCAGACCATGCAGGTTGAAAGAGTCTTTTGTATGCAGTTTCATGGTGCTGTGTAGTTCTTAACTGAATTCAGCCAAGAATGAAGTAAATTTTGAAATTTCTGGACTGAACAATGTTCAGATGTCACAGTAACAGCAGAAATCTGTCATCCCTCTTCACTTGCATGACTGCACAATTGTTGCTGCTGAAGTTGCTCCCATACAGGGTGAACACATTGTTCATCACTCTCTAGTTACAGCCTGACCATTCAAGTAGAGCTAAGTGCTTTCATACTTCCCAGAAAGGATAGGCTTGTCCTTGTATCTTAATATGCACAAGTATATAGGTTAGCACAGTGCCAACAAAGGTAATAACCAGTTTTGTTAGTGTGGTCAACCTTTCTTGCTACTACAAACTATGGCTACAAAATCCCTGTGGATAATATAATATGGAGCTAGTCAAAACCCACCATACAAATGGATTTTTAAAAAAGTCCCATTTCTATGCAATCGTTTGAGAAAATTCCCCTACAATGGAGAAGAAATTAACAGTCTCTTGGTGGAAAATATGGCATAGACACTCAAGGTGTGTTTGGTCATAGAAACAGGTGAAGCCCTTCTGTAGAAGCTGTAGGAGATGCAACCTCTTTAAGTCAATAAGTGTGCTCATTGATCTTCTGCTGGAGCTTGGGATTCCTTTTTTGGAAGAAATGCGACAAACTCTTTCATTTCATTATCTTGATGACCTGTAGCATGAGTACGAGCTTCGTAAGGCTCACATGGGCAGCAGCAGACTTCACCTTTCCTGCTCTTCTGCAGAATGGTAGTACGGAAGTCTAACGTTATCACCGCCAGACGATACAACTGTAGAGTCACAACTAAGACATTTTTAGCTGTAAAAAACACCAGCATCTGATTGAATATTCTGAAGTGGCCCATCAGGATTGAACGCACAATGAAGAAGGGCCCATCCTGTATGAAAAGGCTGACCCCGATGTTCCACAGTTCCGCGCTGTACCTGCACAGCAACAGGCTGGGGATCCGCCTGGCCGATGCAGTTGGTTTGCAGCCAATGTGCTGTACTGGAAATAAAAGAGTTATGTTAAAACAACTTCCTAAAGTTGGAGCCAGGGTTGGCCAAAATGGCATTTATAAGCCAGGGTACCATGGATTATAAATGCACTCAACTATGAAGTATTCAACATACAGCGTATCCAGTTTCTGGATTTGTTTCAGCAAAACACATTAAGCTCGTGTGAGGCACTTCTGGGGTCTGGCAAACAGGACCAAAAGCCACTTCTCCTTTTCCATCCCTCAAAGATATCAGTATTTATACACTTCTAAAGCACAAAGCAGAAATAGATCACCTAATCTTTCTGTGACAACTTCCCCTTGTTAAATCAACATGCTACACAATATCTATCTTACAGAAAACTACCCTTCTGTGCTGAATAGTAACAGCCTGAGCTATGGCACTTCAGTTTGTTCCAGGCTGTCTAAGACCTTGCTTTTAAAAGATTGACCAAATAGCCATTGCGTTTTTCACGTGTCATAGTAAGAGTAAGTCCTGTCAGTGCATGGCAATACTGGGTATTATGGATAGGAAGTGTAAGTCCTGTCAGCGCATGGCAATACTGGGTATTATGGATAGGAAGAAACTAAGGTTTCTATTTGCTCTGTAAGACTTGAGCCACAGTTACTTATTCTTAGCTTTCTGAGTATCAGTTACACTCAACTGCTGGAACTTGCTTGCATGGGTTCCCCTTGGCTGTACAGGTGGTGGTGAGCTTGAATGCTCTCTATGGTGTGGTGCCTAAAGAAAGGCCATCAGAAGGGTTTATGCAGGGTAGGTATGGCTGCCTTGTACAAAAATACACATAGATTAACTAACCCATCTCTGCACTGGGAGATTTCATTAGTTTAAAAAACATTGCTACTTGCAATGCAGTAACAACTGCCAAACACTTCAGTTGGCCAAAAGAATTCTATTGTTTGAGTCAACGCTAGGAGGGGAAAGAACTAGATGAGACTCAAATGGAAAATGTGTTGTAGAATGTAGAAATTTGCTGAATCCATCAGGCAAAGCTTCAGCAGCAGCTAGTTTTTTAACATGCTTTTGTGCCATTGCTGTTTAAGAGTCCTAACTGCATTGTTGTAGCCTAATCAAGAGTGCCTAAAAACTTCTCTTACATCATGTTTGACATGTAAGTGAATATTCTGATGCTTGAATAAAAAGTACAACTGTATAGAACTGCCTAAAATAAACTGTACCTATAATAATTTCGGGAAAACCTGTGTTCAATAATCTACTTTTTAACTGGTAAATGCAATTAAATAAGCAGAAAAGCAACAGAAAAAAAAAAAAAAAGAGATCATTTAAGTGTTGAAGTAATTGAAATTGTTTGGGTTGTGGTGATGTGCCTGAGGTGTTTTTTTGGTTGGTTGGCTGAGGGTTTTTTAAACCTGAGTGCTGTGCATCTTTAACAGAATAGATTTTACCAGGAACAGGAATTCCAGCTGGGATAAATCTGAAATGTGATTGCATCAGTTTTTTTCAGGAGGTCAGCTGCTGAGCTGAAATGCTGAAATATTTTCATAACTTCAGTGCTGAAAACAAAACCTAGTTGTGGCCATGAAGAGAAGGCTAAGGAGTAAAATAATAGCAAAAAAGAATTCCAGGAATTCTCAATTAATTATTTTAGTCTGCATGTCAACATAGTAATCAGTTCTGTATAAGATGCTGGGAATTTATTATTTTAGTCTGCATGTCAACGTAGTAATCAGTTCTGTATAAGATGCTGGTGAGGATAATGTGTCTTTGGACTGCTGCAGTTGTGTTGCAAACTTGTGATTGGAGGCCAAAATGGTTGGAGCAGATGATGATTCAGACAACTGTCATTGTTCTTCTGGGACAGGGCAAAGCCTGTTCTGCCCAGGGACAAACATAACCCTGAGTCAGCTGAATAGATTTTCAGCCTCTTAGGTTAAGATAAGGGTGTACAGTCCCAACATCATATGGTGCTTTAGGTTCCCTGTGAATGTGTAATTTCTCCTGTGATAGTGTCCCCTGTGCTTTTGGCTGTGCTGTTCTCTGTGGTTAACAATTGCCTGTCTCTCTGTAGGGTCCACTAACTTACCCAAATCCAAGCCATAATATAATAGACCAGATCTAACTCAAGAGCTCACATGGTGAAGTTTAAGGCAGTAACAGGCAACTGGAGCAGATGTCCTGATACAATATTGCAATCCTTTTTGTTTTCCTGAGACTAGAGTTTTATCAGGGAGATCAGAAGTTAGCCAGAAACAAGCATTTCCTCAGAAGAAACCACAAGGTACTTTCTCCAAAAGCCATTGCCATATAGACTGCTCTCCACTAGAAGTCCTTGATACAGCTTGTAGCATGTGCACTGCCACAAGACATCAGAGCAAAACCTAGAGAGCAATTTTTTTCTCTTTTCTTGTCTATGTGCAAGTACTAACCTGCAAGATCAAGTGGAAACTGTAACATACTCCATGTCCATACAGCAAGAATTGCATTGATGAGAGTGTAATTCTTCCTATGGGAGGGGAAAAAAGGGATAACAGTGAAGCTGAAGTTTACTTATATGCTAACAAAAATTTTTCCTGTAGTGTTTGGAATGTCCTTTAAAGGGTGGTTGAGTGAAACAGTGATTGATTAATGCATGCTCTTGAGATGCAAGACTAAGGAAGACAGAGGCACCTTTTGGTAGGGAAGTTTTGCAGTTCAGGCTACATGTTCCAGCTGTGTAATTGCACTAAATATCTGATGCTAATGTTATAATGATAAGCATATGGAAACAGACTCTGTTGCTCAAAGAGGAGATATCTTTACCCTTGTATTAATTGCACATTCCTTGCAAGCCTGAAGTGAGAAGGACCTCTTTTCCTGCTCCAAAAACCTTCCTTTGATATTTACAAAAAATAAATACTTTTTTGAGAGGATGAACCTGTTCTGTGACTATTTCTTTATCATGGATATTCACAGCTCATCTCTCAGCACTGTGAGGGGGATATGAGCTTACTTTCTCTGGGAGAGATCACAGTGTTGAAAATTCACACCAGACTATGCCATTGCCTTTCTTCTTATCTTTGAACACTTTGTCATTCTATCATGAAGAAAGTATGTATGAGATAACCAAAGAAGCAACGTGGATAATGAATCACTAAAGCAAACTCTAGTTGCTTCCTTGCCAGTCTAAACCAATTCATTAGCCTGAAAAAGGCTTACTGTGTATCCAGTATTTCAGCTCCTGGAGCTGTAAGAACTGATGCTGCATGGCAGTTACGCTACTTGTTTGACTCTTTGAACCCTTTTATGGTGATGGATGTGACATGCTTCTCTGCTGGCTACAGATAATCCCTAACAAAGCTCATAGGACTGTTAGGCCTTTCACAGAGGGAAAGGCAGGAATTGGGAAAACAGCCCTTGAACGTAGCCTTCTGTTTTCTATGGGAAATACAGTTCCACAAGTCTGAACTTTACAAAAAAAGTATCTTGCACTACCCAAGTTATTCATGTCAGCAAAAAGTCCTTACCGAACATCCTCGATGTCCAGGGTTTCACTAGCAAATTCAAGTATATCTGCTGCTGTTCCCACAAACATGAGAAGCAGCTGAGACAGCTGATCCCGAGTGATTTCAACTCCGATGGGGAGAAGCCATCTCCCAACTACTAGCAGCAGTAGAAAAGTCTGGTGTAGGGCCAGTGTCCATACAGTCTCACAGATTGTGGAGAGCTGATTGACAAAGACTTTAGCCTGTTTAAAAGACAACAATAGTGTGCTGTAACATCAGGAGACTGATGTTATAGGTACCTTCAGAGACTGTATTCATCCCTGAGCCTGCTTTTGTTCTCTTTCTCATTGTATGAGAGCAAATAATTTCTATCTGGCAGGCCTAGTTTGAAAAAGGCATGTTAATACAAACTTTGGATAATGAATAGCAAGTCTTTCTATGTGTACTACTCTTCCTGTTCTCATTTTCCAGCTGATCATTATCCTTTGAAGAATCATCACCCAGACACTTTCTAAATTCAGTTACTGAGATTTGGAAGAGAATGGTAAGAGAGTCTCCTCTTTACGCAGAGACTTGTCTTGCCAACAATAGTTAGTATATAGCATACTATAGGCCATTTTCCCAATGTGGTTTTCTGAAACTTGTTTGTTTGTTTTTACTTTTACTCACTATGCAATGAGCTTTCCTTGCTAATTCCTCTAATTATCATAAAATCTCTACTAGGAATAGGAAAAAGGTGTCTCACCGTCTGAATGATGTTGTGATCTGTTCCCTCACTTCCATGACTACTGTCTCTGGATTGATTGAAGTCTTGGTTGCTGACATTCACCTGAACTGCCCCAGGCTCATTACCACAGTACTGTTGTGAACAAAAACATGACACATGCATAATCATCCCATGCAAGGGAGCAGATGTGCTCTGTGACTGACTGTCCTGTTTCACTGAACTGCAGAGGGTTCGTTTGTGAAAGACAGTTGATGTTTACAAAGGTATGTGCTCACTCTGAATGTAATTCCCCTCCTGTTCAGAAGGGAGAAATTCCTCTCATGAGGACAAGAGTGATATGTTAGTAGGTCCCTGGGAAAGTGTCAGGTTGTACTGCAGAAGAGGATGTAATTCAAAGGTGGATAAAGCAGGTGACATTTCTGTGCTGTTCAGTCTGCACTCTTTGAATGTGATCTGCTTGCAGTTCTCCTGAACAGGCTACTGGGTTTCCTACATGGAAGGAAACAGTAAAAGAGGGTAAAAAGTGGTAATGGTCAGTTTGATGTGTTATGTTCATGTTCAGCCCTATATTCAAACTTGTTCTCAAAATACCTGCTTCTCTACCATCCAGAAAATGTTCTCTGAGAGTTCAGTTGTTTCACTCTTCTGTATGACTTCCCTCAAGGCTCTAATCAAGTTGTGGTAGGATGTTTGGGTTGTATTCCCTGCCACTTCTGCCCCTGCTGTGCCCTATTTTGTAAGGAAATTCATAGGGTGAGAGGTGAAATACAAGAGTAATTAAGGAAAATGGACCTGTATTGTTGTCTACCCCTGAGAAGTAGAAAAAAGGGTACTTCTACTTTCTCAAGTAGCCAGTGCTCTGGGAAACAGTGTTGGCTAAAACACACTCCAACTCCAGCAAACCAGTGCCAGGCTGGGTTATGTCTGCAGCACTGCTCTGTCCTTCTACCTTCACACCCAGGACTGGCCCTAGAGCAACTGAAGGGGTATGGTTCCAAAATCTATCTTCATAACAACCACTTAACATCTCTCCTCATTGTAATAAAAAGGGGATAATTAGAAAATCAAACCATGCTGTTAGGCTGTGTTATGTCTGCAGCACTGCTGTGTCCTTCTACCTTCACACCCAGGACTGGCCCTAGAGCAACTGAAGGGGTATGGTTCCAAAATCTATCTTCATAACAACCACTTAACATCTCTCCTCATTGTAATAAAAAGGGGATAATTAGAAAATCAAACCATGCTGTTATTCAAGACTTTTATCCTGTCCTATTTGTGCCAGAGAACAGCAGATGATTTGCATTCCTCCACTGGGCCCCCCACCATTTTATTGCACAGGGAGTGATTTTCTGCAACAATCGGAATGTATTGGAGAGCATACTGAGTAGCTGTGTTCAGTATAGTGCCTGCTGATACAAGGGCAACATTTTCCAGCAAATTTCAGATTCTACTTTGATACTTTACTTGGTCTCCGATAATGTTGCTCAGTATCTGGGTGCACACTGCCTCTTGCCTGACCTTATGGTAGATAAATGGAGCAACTTCCTGTGGCTTGAAAAATCTGGAAAAAATGTCACTGCTTGTTGCTTTTATAATTGGTCATAAAGACTCTTAAGCTGAATGCTTGTCTTATTTGGACAGTGGGTGTGAGAGTGTTGACAGATTGACACACAGATGTGGGGAAGATGATATTTCCATTTGGAAGAAGGAAGTCTGAAGTTCTGGGCATGGAAACAGTGAGGTTGAAGGGGCTGGTACTCTGCCTGGCCACAGTCCTGTAGGGCTAATCTGCCTAACTTGGCCCTTCAACCAAAGCAGAGAGACAGAGCAGCTTGTTCAGAGGATGTTTTGGAAATGAAATATAACTGGTGCTCTGGAGAGGCATTTTTATCTGTTGCCTATAGAAAACACCTAAAGTCTATGGAGAACAGCCCCAAGGACCAAGTCAGCCTTTCTGAATAACCTCCACAGGCAGTGTGACACAGTTATCCAAGGAGATAATGACCTAAAAATATTGCCTAACTGTCCTAACCACCCCAGGATATGAAGAAGTGAATAGCTACAAGTGCATATCAACAAATAGCCTGAGTAGGGCAAAGGGAACTAACTAACCTGGGCAGGAAGAGGAAGGCTGACCTTGGCAGCCTTTAGTTTGTCATTAAGTCTGCATTTGAGCTCACCCCTCTGTCCATTTGTCTGGTCTGGCAGGGTAGGAGGAAATAAGCCATGAACCTGCAGTGAACTTCATATCCAAACTTGAAGATTTTTTGATTGGTCCTTTAAACCCCCATTGCTCAGGGGTGAAATGGCCGAATTTGAGACAGAACCCAGGTAGGGCAGCCTACCTGCCACACATGCTGTATGTGCAAGGATAGTGGAAATCCCTTCCCAAACACTGTGTGAACTCCCAACAAGTCAGTCAGGTGGCTGAAGGACAGGAGTGACTTAGAAGCCTGTAGCAGTCATGCTGTGTGGGTGCTGCCCGGAGCAGGTGGCATGGCTCTCCCCATGCCAACAGCAGCAAGCAGATCACTCTCCTGGCTGGGCCACACACCCTCTGCACCTGCAGAGGAGCTGCAGGAGTTGGCAGCTCACACTGCTGGAGGACGGTGGAGGAAAGCTCATGGCTCACAGGGGCTTGCAAGGGGGCTCCTTTTTCTTGTTCTAGTGGCACAAAGTACAGGGAATACCTGTAAGAAAATTAGTGCATATTATTGGTGTCTCTTGTAGGTTCCTTATGTGTCTTTTTTATGAGGGTTACCATTTTAGTGCAGGGCTCCAGGAACCTGAATAGCACTCTCAGGGCCAGTTCATAGCTCTTCTCAACTGCTGGCAGGTAGGAAATGGGAAACTGCATCTGCAAATCCAGTCATTTAAAGGAGGCTCTTGGTTTTTTTCATTTAAGTATGTTCATATCTTGTTTCAGTTTGTTTCTACCTGAGTATATATTAAGTTGTGATTGTGAAGTGATTCACTTGAAAGTCTGGAGAAGAGCCTTTATTTTCATCATGTATCTGCATGTAAATAGGACTGTTAGTGCCAGGCATATTTACCTAGCGAGTTATGGATGTGCAGTGACTTAATGGGAACATGACAAGGAAAAAGTGAATACTGTGCTTCACAGGCATTTGACAAACATGGTTTACCTTTTTACTACTGGAGTCCAGTTGCTTCTAGGTATTGAGATTGTGTACCAGGCTAAATAAAAATGCCCTTTTTTTACTGTGCAAAGATAAAATAGGAAGAAGTTGTACACATTTTGTGTAAATTCGAGCTCGGTTTGCTTCCTTTATTTCCTCTGACATGAAGCTTACATATCTCTGATTCATGAAACATCTAACCAAACCAGAAATGCTGTTGCATGACATGGTGAGGTCCCAGTGTGTGGCCTGCACAGAGCTCACTGCCAGTGTGTGGGGGACACCTGAAACACCAAACTAATTCAGCCAGTTTCTCTCTGCACATTATTCACAATCCATTATTCCCAAATAAAACTGAGCTTAGCTAAAGCTTTTCACAATGGGTCCAGCACTGAGATGGTAAAATTGACAATTGAGTACCAGGGTGGAGTACCCTCAACCTGTTAATGTGCATGGAGGTTGTGAGGCTGAGGATGTTTTGGAAGAGTCTAGCCCTTCCCTGGAGTGGGCCCTCGGCCAAGCAACAGGCACCCTGCTTGCTCTCTGTGACTTGCTGCAAACAGTGTGGCTGTCACTATGGCAACACACGTGATGTCAGAAATTCAAAGCACTCCTGACTGCTTCATTTTGCTCGTACAGGAAAGCTGAGATGTAAAACAGGGAGAAAAGATTGCTTAGGCTGTTTTCCAAATTGAGGAAGATACTAGGTATGGGAGGGAAGAAATAGTGAAAGATGGAAGATCACTTTGAGGAGATTGTTATATTACAATTTTAGCTGATAAGAGGATCCCACCTCAGAATAACGCTGATGGAATGGGCAGTAATATTCACTATTTGCTCAAAATGTTCAAGTTAAGGCTGTTAAAAATAATTACAAGGTTTTCCAAGTATCTGACTGAGAGCCTACATTGACCACAGCTCTGTAGTCGGGTAAGCCTTGCAAAAGGTGGTTGGTTATTGCTTTCTGTGGCAGTGATACTCCAAGCATTTGGAAAGGTAACGCAGGTATTTCTTTATCTGAGCTCTTGTATGTTATTAAGAAAGAATGTTTAGGGGTTTCAATGGATTAAATGCTTTTCATTTTCTTGACAGTCTGTGTTGCAATGTTTTCTCTCAGTACAGTTCAGTTTATCATCTCTCCCAAACATGTACTTCATCCCCAAATATGTTAACACAAGGCAGTTGTTTCTATGCAGGTAGTATTTGGCTGTTGATGGATGAATAGTATTACTTATGTCCAGTTCTGCAGTACACAGAGAGGCTGGATTGCCTCTGTCTTCAGGAACAAATTTGCACATGTCTTAAATAACAGCACTGACATGAGCACTTGATGTTTCATGCTAAAGATTCAACACAAGATTAAAGTTCCTTAAAGACCCCAAACTGTTTTCATAGTGTAAATATTAAAAGTGTGGATCTAGCAACTGCATAATTTCCCATTCTCTTAGTATTTAAATAAGAAAAATCCCAGGAGTCCTTCAGTGTTGAGGGTAGTACTAGTCTGGGTGCTATGTCTGAGATTAATTGTTAGGAGAGCTGCCCCCCTTCCAGGAGCACTGTTTGTGAATCTGTTAGATTGTGTGTTTCCAGAACTCTCTATCCTATCTCTCCAGGTATAAACTAAGCTGTTAACTTGATATACTCCCTCTTTAATTCACAGTAGCAGTATATCAATAAGAACAAAGTATGCCATGTTCTAACATAATTTTGGGAAATAAACCGCTGCCTTTGACTACAGAATTAGCCTGTTTCTTGGACCAGATTTAACTATGACAAATGTTCTCAATATCCACATTACCTGTCTGTGACTGTTTAAGGAGATTTGGGAAAACAAGAAGACAATAAATTCCTGATGTTGTATTTAGACACAGCCTCGGGCATTTTCAGTGTAAACACAATTTTGAATATTTGATTATGCTTCTGTGGGCTCTAACAATGTTTCAAAGGAGAAAATGAGGCACTAGGTCTTCTTAGTCTAATATATGTATTTTATCCTGTTACTTTTTGCTCTTGTTCTAATCAGGACCTTTACTCCTGTGAATGTAAGGCACTGCCTATGTGCAAATGCTGGGACAGACAAAAATCTCCTTTTCACTATGTGGAAGTGCTGTAAGGACTTGAAAGCAGCCTGCATGAGTAGATGGTTCATTCAACAAGAGCTGCTGGGCTAAGTGGCTCTGTTCTGGCCCTAACTGACCAATTGCTCTCAAAACTTTTACTGTGTGTTTTAGTCCTGAATTGGAATTGAGACATTCCACTCCTAGATTACTTTACAACATGAACAAAAAAAAGGATAGAAACACTGACAAACAAATTAACAGCTGTGGTAACAATCTGTGGACATTCTCCTAAGTTGCAAGGAATACAAGGTAACCTCCATTTAAGACCTCTTTCACTGATACCTGTCTCAATTTTAATTTGCCTGAAGTTGTGATATCTGCTCTGGAGTGCTGAGAAACTAATTCTGTGTTTCACAAAGGTCTCTAAAGCCATGAAATTCTTGCCCCATATTAATCAAGATTCATGCTGGTAACCTGGGGGTGAAAGGCTGTGTTTTTCAACCTTCTAGTCCTCAGTTCCTCAGACAAATACAAATAAATGGTCCCATTTTTAGCCAGGAATGAAACTCATTATCTGATATTTAGGACATGCATAGTAGTCTTAGTGTAGCTCAAGCTGGATTGGGAGACCCACCAATATGAAATACAGACCTGGAACAAGACCCAGCAGAACTTCTGCCCAAATTCATCAAATAATGCATCAATTTCAAACTAGTCCATCTTGTCTCATAATAAATACCTGAGTCCCATGATGAATTTCTAGTAGCCATAGTGATGGTACTGTGCAAATCAGATATAAAAATATTGCTGGTGAAAACCTGTGAAGAAAAGATACCTTGGTATTATAAGACATCATAAATACCATATATCCTAACATAATCTGCATCGAAAAGTATCTTGTGCCTCCACCATATGGGATATTAAGAAATAGGGTAACTGTAAATAAGAATTGCTATTTTTGCTGAATTCCTCATGCTGTGTATTATAAATCACAGGTTTATTTGTACATCCATCTAAGCTCATCTATGGAAGTTTATTTAAAAATCCTTTTTATAAGAACTAACCAAAGGCACTTTGTATTTCCATCACAGCATTCTCTGTACTTAAAAAGCCTCCAGCTAACATGCTCTTTCTGATTTCACAAAGAGTAAATTAATACATTGAGTCATTTCACTGAGTGATGCTGGGATAAAGGCTGTTGATCAGAATCCTGTGCATTGACACAGGAAAGGTAGAAATAGCATTAGTTTGCCTAAAACAAGCATTTCTTCAGTAGGAGGTCTTGCAGTGCAGGCTGTGCACTGAAAATGGGTGTATGAAAGTGGGTCCTGGCCTTGTTTCCCCATTTGTGTTGGCAATTGTATAATTCTTCAGGATTTCTGCCTCTAGCTCTTCTCTCCCTGCCAGTCTTGTACGCAGCTTATGGTGGTGAAGCTTTATTATCCTCAGCTCTTTTAGCTGGGTTTATTCAGAAGCACTGGAGAGGTTTCATGACTCCCTCTGCTTCTTGTGACAGTTGATGATGTTTTCTTATTAAACCCATGACGTTTGTTTGGGGTGGGTACTTTTGGCAATTCCTATCCTTTCAGAGTAGGCATGAGGTATGATGCCATGAATGTTCCATCCAGCTCTGCTGTAGCATGGACTGAGCATTGCTGCAACACTGCTGAGACACTCAGCAGCCTTTGCATGGCATACCTAGATTCATAGAAACATAGAATCGGCCAGGTTGGAAAAGACCTCCAAGACCATCAACTCCAACCCTACCTTGGTTACTAGACCATGGCACTAAGTGCCACATCCAGTCTCTTCTTGAAAACCTCCAGGGATGGTGAATCCACCACCTCCCTGGGCAGCACATTCCAATGCCTGATTCCTCTGTCGGCACAAAATTTCTTCCTAATATCCAACCTAAACCTCCTCTGGCAGAGCTTGAGTCTGTACCCTCTTGTCCTGCTGCTGGTTGCCTGGGAGAAGAGACCAACCCCCACCTGACTCCAACCTCCTGTCAGGGAGTTGCAGAGGGTGAGAAGGTCTCCCCTGAGCCTCCTCTTCTCCAGGCTGAACCCCCCCAGCTCCCTCAGCCTCT